AATTGCTGCGAACGGCGGCGAATCGACATTTCACGGTCATCACTAACACTGGCGGATACAGCCGCATTATTTTCTTCAGTCCTCACTCTACGTCTGCGTGTTGGTGGTTTAATGTCCAATAATATAAACTGGGTTCGAAATTTAGTCACAAGCTTCCGAATAGCTCCCTCAGTAGGCCGACCAAATTGCCCATAAATTGGAAGCAGTGCTCGATGCACTCTCTCAACCGAGCATGAATTTTTATAGTAAAATTCAATAATTTGCAAGCGTTGTTCGTTCGTAAGTCGATTCATGGTTAAATTATAGACCAAACTGAACAGGTTTGACAATGACACATGACACGATTCACGCGTCATCTGTCGAAAACAGTGTTGCCAAAAAGATACTAGGAAAAAAATCACCCATTACAAGCAAAAATTTTAGCTTTTTATATGAATCAGAGAGTGGTGGTTTTGGCAACACTGTTGTCAGCATTCAACAGTCGAGGGTATTCTCGTTTATGCTCCAAATGGTCATATGAATGAAATGCTCTTCGGATTTAACGGTCTCTCGAACTTGAAAACCTCAATACTCATAATGTGGGATGGGAAAGTCTGAATGTTGTACGGAGGTCCGTTCTTGCTAATCACAGATTATCTTGCGCTCCAATGCAATTTGGGTATCAATTAAATGACTATCCAATCGGCCATTAGCTGGTGTATGCCTGCAGAAGATCAACTCCTGAAGACGTAATAGAATTATTAAATATTAAATTAGTGCTTAACATATTGTTCCCATTCTGTGTATGTCTACTTCAGAAGTGCTAGGATTCTCAAATTGTTATATTTCTTTTGTCTGTACACTATCATCTATTTTGTGCTTGAGTCTATAGTACTTGTACTCAACTCAAATTTGTTGTAAAGTAGGCGTAATTTTATTACTTTTTAAGTTAGACACCAGGAACTACGGCGACTCGCAAGCGACCCATATCCAAACTCAAATTCCATAATCTATGGACGGTACCACTGATACTTTCCCTTCTCCAGACAATTAAAAAAAATATCTCTGAATTAAATTCAAGATTTAGGACTTGGGTCGCTCCTCTTTTTTAAACCTCCATTCCACCTACCCTTCTCCTAAGCACACACACACATTAAAAACGCCTTCGCGGTCTCAATATCATTCTCATCTATCACGTGAGAAACAAAAACCTACAAGCAGCCTCATGTGACCCAAAACGCGTCCCCTTATTTGATGAAAGTTTTATTGTGAATGATAAAAGCCAATTAAAGACGGACAAAACTGCGGAAAATTGATGATAGTAGGATTAATGAAACATCTGCCACAGCGCCCGGAAGTTAATATGTGAAGCCAAGTGCTACTAGTAAAGGTTTAAAGTGTAACGCAGTGCTTAAATGTCTATGAATGGATCAGGCTCAAAGTTAGAGATAGTTTGAAATTTAATTGAAATTATGTTGATGGATATAGATGTCGAAATCCATTAATCAGTATAGTGTTTTAAAGCAATTTTGGGGCACAATGCGTAGTTGCTGTTTCACACAGTTTAGTGGACAAATATCCTCCTGAAAGGTGAAAGAGGCATTGTTAAATCTGAGACCTTCTTACTCTAACCAACAGAAAACAATATGCTAAAGTACTGACTACACAGTCTGACCAGCAGCTATATCGTGAAGGTCATGTCAATGACTTTACCGCCAACTCCTCGGTGATGTATGCTGATACAACCTTACTTGTTAATGGCAAAAACTTGGAGCATGTCGTAAGAAATTCCAACACAAGCTTGGCTCGTTTATTAATAACGGCCTTGTCTTAAACCACAAAAAGACATTGCTCCTCAGATTTAGCTACACTAATGCATATGGACCGTAGTCTTCTTATAAATACATATACACATATCAAGAAACTGTAAATGGGATACGCATATAGAGAAAATTAGTCAAAGAGTGTCCCCTCTTGCTATTGGATAATACCAGTTGGACAGCTTTTTGCAGAAAGGAACCAGGCCAGAGAAACAATTATTGAGCAATTAGGCTTTAAAGTTTGACAACGATAACAAATTCATTTCAGACCAAACGCGATTTTAATTAATGACTTACTAAAGGCTTTAAATATGTGAATGGATCTTTTCGACAGTAAATGGTAATCTAGATTTTTCAGATTTAGTGGGTTGGTTCCTTTCTGCAAAAAGCCGCCCAATTGAGTTTCATCGTTGATGAGTGGATATTGTTAATGTATTACCATGCACATATCCATTCTACTCTAGCTTAAGCAATAGAAGCATGGGATCATTCTCCAAGACGAAGGCTTTTTATAATACCTATAGAAAGGGGCTGTTAAAACTATTGCAAAGGTGGGGAGGGCGCTTTAGTTGCGGAGAACTATTCACAACTTTGAAATTATCAACGCTGCCTTCAGTATACTTATTAAATATATTGATTTACGTCAAAACACACCTGGACAATTTTTGTTCTATAAATTCTGGAATTCACAACAGGGTAGTCTTGGAGGTGCCGTCACATAGCTTACCGTGAACGAGTGAAGGTCCCAAATAGACTGCAATCAAACTCTCCAACAGACTACTCATTGATCTTAAATCACTACCTCTGACATTATTTAAAAATAGAATCATTCAAATGTTACTGGATAAAGATTTTTTACTTTATAGAAGAATTTTTAATGTGTGATAGCCTTTTTTAATTTCAAATTGTTAATATACTAAGTGACATATAAATCCGAACACACAGTTTAAATGGTTTTATTTTAATAAAAGTTGGTGAATGTATTTATCTTACTGTAAACAACAAGTGAAAAAATTTTCAGCCTTATCAGTTGGACATTCCGGTCTTTATACTGCTGTTTTTTTAATTCACTAACGCTCTAAAAATGAATATTTCAGTCGCAGTAAAGAATCAACGTTGGCGGATTTTGGTTCTTGACATCTTTTACGATCGGTTACGATGCCTAGAGTACGGAGACCTGTACGATTTCGTCAACTTAGTGAGTGTGATAGGGGCCGTATAATGGGACTTCGGGAAGCTGGACTTTCTTTTCGGGCAATTGCAGTTAGAGTGCAAAGAAGTAGTAGACACTGTGGTCAGGTGTTGTCAGGCATGGCTTCGAGAAGGCCGTACACAAAGAGCAAGGAGCACTAGACGCCGCCGTAGAACAACAGACCGTGAAGATCGCCGCCTAAGATTATTGGCCTTAAGGGACCGTTCCTCCACTACCAGGTCCATTGCAAATGAATGGTTTGCAGAACACGGAAGACCTATTGGCATGCGAAGTGTTTACTGACGAATGACAAGTTTTGGCTTGTTTTCATACCAGCCACACTGGGTCCTCCCTTTAACTCGAGAACACCGACGTAATCGCCTTGAGTGGTGCAGACAACGGTCACTCTGGGATCAGGAATGGAACAGTATTGTCTTTAGTGACGAGTCTTGGTTTTTGTTTAGGCATGCACGATGGTCGTGCCAGGGTTAGAAGGCGACGTGGTGAAAGGAGGAATCCGCAGTTTTTTGTTGAAAGACATGTTCATCACACTGTTGGAGTTATGGTTTGGGGTGCTATAGCTTATGGTTCCAGGTCACCTTTAATCTTCATCAGAGGTAACATGAACGCGCAGCGTTATATCCACGAAGTTCTAGAACCCCATCTTTTACCCTATCTTGACACCCTGGTAGATCCAACTTTCCAACAAGATAATACCCGACCACATATTGCAAGAGTCACAATAGACTTCTATCAACATAACGATGTCACATTGTTACCATGGCCACCAAGATCTCCCGACTTATCCCCAGTTGAGCACGTGTGGGATATGATGGGTAGGAGATTGCTCAATTTGCAACGTCCTCCTCAGACTCTAGAAGCACTTCGAGAGGAGTTGGTGGTTGCCTGGAATGAGATACCACAGGAGGACATTGACCACCTGATCAGAAGCATGCCTAGGCGCGTTGGAGAATGCGTAGCACATCAGGGTGCATCCACACATTATTAAAGATCTAAAGGCTTTAAAGCAGTGCAATCATTTTGAAATTTTTATCATTCACTTATTATGCTTCATTAAGTACTTGTAGAAAATTTTATTAAAATAAAACCATTTAAACTGGGTGTTCGGATTTATGTCACTTAGTATATGTTGTGAGTTTAATTCATTTTCATGTTTATACACCTCGTGTTTCTTATTTGTTATTAATTATGTATATATGCAATTCTTTTCATACAAATATTCCATTGACTTGTCCTATATCACTTTGTGATCCACATGATGAATAAATTATTACCATTATTACCATTGGCGTGCAAGTAAACCTTCTTGCGAGGTCGATTTCGAATTTCTTTCGTTTTTCAAATGTGAGAATAGTTTTCCACAATTCCAAGCTTAAATATTGTGTTATTACGTCCTATGTCAGTGAATTTTTGGACATAAGGTTTTTCAAACGGTTTATTTCCTGTACATCACAAAAAACTATGTTACTCATTTCGGTCTGTCTGACGATGAGGTTTCGTGTTTGTTGGAGGGCTTTTGGCGTTTTCAGCACGACGGACGAGGGTATCGTGTGCACACGTAAACCACAGGACAAGCTTCAGACGTTATATTTTTCTTCCCATGCCTCCAGAAAATACATTTTGCATCAAGCGACAAATTATTAATTGATGATGTCAAAAAAATCAGCCTCCTTTGATATTAATTTGTCAATTTAAGTAATGCTCAAATAGGGACAAACTTGCGTATTTAGGTAACTAACAAAGTGCCGCTCAGGAAGTTTTGAAATTTGAAGTACTTCCGGACAGAGATGAAAAAAATATAATCTTTTTAAATTTTTACTGCTACTTTCCGAAATCCCAATGGTTATAATCGAGTTATACTTTTTGACATTTACTGGTAACGCTACTGCTATATGACTGATGGATAACGGGCTAGTATTGGGCCATTGTGAAAAAAAGCGTAACTGTTTTACATTGTCTCGTTTAAAGAACGATATTCTTTGTTCTAGGCAAGGGAACTGGCCATAGAGCAGCAGGTGCACGAAGTTTTAATCCACAGAGCAAAATCAAAGGAGAAGATTGACAAGCCGAAAAGGAAATTGAGGAAACATCGACCAACCGTTTTAAGATCGTATTCTATCGGATGACCGATCTATAATATATATGGTCTTGGAATATTCTAAATTTGGATACGGTGTTTTCTAATGTTTTCTAATGATCAGTGTAACTCCTATACTATCTCTTCAGTACCCATATGCTTTGTTAGCACTAAGTTTACAGGACAAAAGTTGATCGAATCTGAAAATTGAGAAGAAAATGGAACGCAAAAGTTTTTCAGTTCTGAACGTTCCGGAAAAGCATCTGTATCTCACTTTCCTTGTTATATGTATATTTGTGTGTGTGTACATGTAAACATTTCTATAAAATATCAATACATTTTTATAATAAAAATTATCCAAGGAATGAAATTAATGAGTCGAAATAAACTACTTTGGTTGAGAAATTTACGCCAAAGGACAGGCTAAACAGCAGACCGATTATTGCTACACGTGGCCCTAGACCTCGACCACTCTAAAGATATTGATTGGAGTCACGAACCCATTAAGGCGAGAATACACATGCCAGTAAAATAGCATGCCAGTGGCCAGTAACTTGTATGCTAACTACTTGTCCTACGACATCCCAAAATACACATGCTAGTTTTGGATATGCCAGTCTGTGGAAACTTTCCTTTATCTTCTTTAACTCTTGGTGGTAGGTTGTTCTTAGGTTTTTTATCTTATTTTTCATAAATTTCAATGTTAAACTGTTATGTCATTTGCTTCAATAAAGACTTGTAAGCATTGTCTCTAGCGATTTTATTTGTATACAATGGAGATCATGTATTCCATAAACACGGATACTCCCTATACTGCATAACAAACAATAAAGTCTTTTCGTCTCCCCAACGAGCCATTTCGCCCCAAAATAAACAAATAGTTCTATAGTTCAAGAATCCGTTTTTCACATGCGAGTTTCTGGTAACGATGTCGTTCACACACCTTTGAACATGACTCGCATGTTTCCTCCCCTCCATTCCCTAGACGAAATCCTGCTACTGGCACACAAAAATCAAACGTCTTGCGATCTACTGGCGTGCTATCTTCTAGGATGGCTTCATGCTGGCAGAGAAAGTCACACATGCAAGTAGCACGCACAATCCAGTAACTGGCATGCTTCTGTGCGTGTAACAAGCATGTGTATTCTCGCCTATAAGGACATGACAGGCTAAAAAGAGTCATTCAGAAGTGTATATTATCTTGATTTGTCGAAAACATCTATCGAGAAGGTGGAATTTAGGTCATTTGAGGAAAATATCTCACGCTTTGAATTAAAAAAAATGCGTCAGAGCTAATCCATACCAGTTGAACTAAAAAGATACTGAGAAAACTTATTTCAAGACAGTCATTGTCAATTTTGGTATTGATGTTGATGTTCCATTATCCAAGAAAACTGTGGTCAGTTGTCGATCACTTAACTAACAAAGACGCTCAAGAAAAGCCAAATATTGATGAAATTAAGAATCGTGATGGAACAATATTAACAGATAAACGACAAATATCCGATGCATTCTTAAATTTTTTCACTAATGTTGGAGAAAATTTAGCATCCAGTATTAAAAAAATGGTTTCGAACGAAAAGTTCACAAAAACCCAACTTCCCAATTCATTCTTTTTAGAAAGCGTTAGTCCGATTGAAGTACAAGAAGCTGTCCTATCACTTAAAACCAAAAAAAGTCCTGGTGTGGATGGTATCAAAGCTGAGCATTTAAAAATAATAGCCTACGACTTAGCCGAACCACTTTCTTACGTCATTAATTGGTGTTTCCAATCTGGAATTTGTCCTGATGCATTTAAAACAACTGTTATTACTCCTGTTTATAAAAGCGGTGACAGAATGGAAACATCAAATTATAGACCCATATCGGTACTATCGAATATAGCCAAAATTTTGGAAAAATTAGTACAAAAAAGGATATTGCAATTTTTGGACAAAAACAAAATTATATGTTCTGACCAATATGGATTTAGAAAAGGAAAATCTACTACAGATGCAATTTTGGCTGCAATGGATGAAATTAACTCTAATGTCAACAAAAAGATACCTACTATTGGTATCTTTGTTGATCTAAAAAATGCCTTTGATACGGTTAACCATGTCGAGCTTCTGAAAGTTATGGAAAGATTAGGATTTAGGGGAGCGTCACAAATCGTTTTAAAAAATTACCTTTCAAGTCGGGCACAGACTGTCAAAATCACTAACACTTACAGTAAAAAAATGTACATCAAGTGTGGTGTGCCTCAAGGAACAGTACTAGGCCCACTATTATTTAGTCTCTACTTAAATGACTTATTCAAAATTAACAGTTCTGGAAAGATTATATGTTTTGCAGATGACACCCTCGTATTATATAAAGCTGATGACTGGAGCACACTGAAGCAAATAGCTGAAAAGGATTTTATAAGGATCATTGACTGGTTTGATACTAACATTTTAACAGTTAACTTCAAAAAAACAAAATTTATTGCATTTACATCCTATTCAAAATTTTTACCAACCTTCGAACAAATTTCCGTTAATTATCATGGCCAAAAGACCAAAATCGATAGAGTTAACACTTTGAAATATCTTGGAATATTTATAGACTCACATCTAAGGTGGGATAACCATATTAAATATGTTATCAAAAAAATTAGAAATGTTGCCTATAAACTCAAAATGCTTGCTAACATTCTTACAGAAAGTTATCTGCGAATCCTATACCATGCCTTAGTTGAAACCCATATAATATACGGCATCACAACCTGGGGTGCCGCCTGCAAGACATATATTTCTGACCTGAATATAGCACAAAAAACTGTTTTGAAAGCCATTTTCCATAAGCCAAGATTATATCCAACGAACAACTTATATCAAGAAACAGGGATACTTGATACAAGACAACTTTATTTCTTACATGCCACCACCTTATACCATAAGTATTGTAATAAAAAGAAAAAATCCTATAAACACGAGCATAACACACGATTTCGAATAGGCTCGTCTAATATCCAAAGACCACACAAAACATTATTCAAAAAATCATTTAAATTCTTAGCGGCTAAATTATATAATGTAGTACCAAACGAAATAAAGATACTTAATTTTGGAAAAAAATTTAGAAGAAAATTGAAAGACTGGGTTAGTAATGTGCAGCGAATGACTATACATAATTATATAGAAAACTAAAAGTACAAAATTCCAATTACATTAATACCTTTTAGATTTAACAATAATTGTTATACACATATATGATTGATTGTTAGTTATTAAGATATAAACCACACACAGGCGATGCCTTCTGTGGTTTTTTCATATTTATTTGCCCATTTTTTGTATTTTGGCGAATAAATATTATTATTATTATTATTATGAATACATAGTAATTCGTAGCACTCAATCAAGTCTCGTGTTTTTGTCAAACTTTTAGCGGAATCATTTCTTAGTTGAAAAAATTACGTTTTCTAAAATGTCATTTTTGTGCCGATAGTTTGATTTCCTCCGCATAAATTTCTCTCTCTAGACGAGGCCCAGGCTTCGAGTACGGCGCGCATCTTTGGGATGATGTCGCCTCGACTAACGGACAGTCCGGAATCCTTTCACACGGGTGGTCACCGATCTGGCTCTCTTTTATTACTATACCAACAGGCTTTGCTCCTTAGAGCCAGACGGGCCCGCCAGACATTTGGTCCCATCTTGACACTATCGAACATCGCACATCCAGCACTGGCCATTATCACCGTTCCTCGGGTATCGTGGTTGTTGTACAATCTGCATGACGAGACTTTTCCTAGTGTTAATAACCTTAGGCTGTTCAGAAATCGCATTAATTCCGCATCTTTCAGAACACTGAAGATAATGACTGTAATAAGTAGTTAGATTTATCAGCTGACAGTGTTTGTTTTTATGACTAGGCGGGACTTTGAAGTCAGCAAAAATCATCATTATGTTGACAACTGGATCGAAAATGCTCGTGTTTCCACTTAGACCTCGATCTGCGGCATACCAAAAAACACGAAGTTTTATGGGTTGCAAGATTTCTGATAGACATTAAGAATGCCTCACATGTACTTATTTTGGATTTGATAAACTGGCTCTACGTTTCCTAGCGTCATATCCTAAAGACAGACAGCAACAGGTGGTCAACAAGTATTCCAAATTTACGAAATGTTCCTTCAAGGGTACCACGAGGTTCAGTTTTAGGGCCCCTCTTTTTCTTTATATATATATTTGGTTTCGTCGTCAAAATTAAAAATCCGATTGTAACCGATGATACCCAATTATTCTTAAGCTTTCCACCTGACGATCTCAAAATGCCTGAGGCTAAAATTAATATTGATTTCGGAAGTATTAATAACCATTCTGCTATCAATAACATGAAACTCAATGCTCAAAAGTCAAATTTCGCCAGATTTTGCAAGAAAAAAAAACGGAGACATCTAATTGCAGGCCTGAACCTGAAATTAGGCAGCACAGATTCAAAATTTAGTCATGTTTGCTAAAGTTTGGGTCTACTCATATAAGAAGAAGACGTTTTCACACGCGTGTCAACAGCGTTATCAAAAAAAGCTATTTTAGGCTGAAACTATTGATACCAACAGGCACTTCCTCAGTTTTAAAACAAAAAAGCGATTATGTGAATCATTGATTATTTACCATAATTTTATACGGAATCATAACGTATTATCCTTACTTGGATCAAATGTTTACCTACAGACTACAAAAGATTCAAAATTCTAGACCAATAACCTCACGAAATACAATCATGCAATTGGCCCAATCAAAAATTTATAGATCTCTAAAATAATAACATGTTAAAATATTTATTTTTATCACTTATAAAATTTATTATAACCAATCATTCACCACTACGCGTATGCAACAAGCTGGCATTTAGAACAAGCATTCATGATTTAAATTTAAGTTATATAAGCACATTATCCATACTAATATACTAAGTGACATATAAATCCGAAAACCCAGTTTAAATGGTTTTATTTTAATAAAATTTTGTATAAGTACTTAATGAAGCATAGTAAGTAAATGATAAAAATTTCAAAATGATTGCACTGCTTTAAAGCCCTTTGACCTTTAATAATGTGTGGATGCACCCTGATGTGCTACGCATTCTCCAACGCGCCTAGGCATCTGATCAGGTGGTCAATGTCCTCCTGTGGTATCTCATTCCAGGCAACCACCAACTCCTCTCGAAGTGCTTCTAGAGTCTGAGGAGGACGTTGCAAATTGAGCAATCTCCTACCCATCATATCCCACACGTGCTCAATTGGGGATAAGTCGGGAGATCTTGGTGGCCATGGTAACAATGTGACATCATTATGTTGAAAGAAGTCTATTGTGACTCTTGCGACATGTGGTCGGGCATTGTCTTGTTGGAAAGTTGGATCTGCCAGGGTGTCAAGATAGGGTAAAAGATGGGGTTCTAGAATTTCGTGGATATAACGCTGCGCGTTCATGTTACCTCTGATGAAGATTAAAGGTGACCTGGAACCATAAGCTATAGCACCCCAAACCATAACTCCAACAGTGTGATGAACATGTCTTTCAACAAAAAACTGTAGATTCCTCCTTTCACCACGTCGCCTTCTAACCCTGGCACGACCATCGTGCACGCCTAAACAAAATCGAGACTCGTCACTAAAGACAATACTGTTCCATTCCTGTTCCCAGAGTGACCGTTGTCTGCACCACTCAAGGCGATTACGTCGGTGTTCTCGAGTTAAAGGGAGGACCCAGTGTGGCCGGTATGAAAACAAGCCAAAACTTCTCATTCGTCGGTAAACACTTCGCATGCCAATAGGTCTTCCGTGTTTTGCAAACCATTCATTTGCAATGGACCTGGTAGTGGAGAAACGGTCCCTTAAGGCCAATAATCTTAGGAGGCGATCTTCACGGTCTGTT